ATATATATATATATATATAAAACTTTCAGGATAAAAAAGACCTGTCTGTTAGCTGGGGACTGTTTGGGGAACTGCAAGATCTTTATGATGGACTACAGAGCCCCCCTACACACACATGCTGCTCTGTTAATGAGAGCAATATAAATGGATGAATGGATTTTAAAAGAAAGAAAGAGCAAGGAGAAAGAGTAGGAGGAAGCTAAGAAGGAAGGATTGCTTGAGAGAAGGAACGAAGAAAATATTCTGTGAAGCTCCTGTATTACCCCAACACGTGATCACATGGGATTATGAACCGAGACATTTGCTGGAATATTTTATATAAATAACTATTGGGCCTGCTTTGCTCACCTAATGAATCCACAAAACAGATGACAATAATTAAGGTATTTACATGAACTGGTACTTACAGCCAATTAACTTTTGATATTCTGTGCCAGCAGGAGACAAAGATGACATTGAAGAATGAAATCCATTTTCAACCCAGAAATCTTGTTTTAGCAGCTGTTTTATCTGCCTCTTCATTTTCTAGACATGGACTATGGGGGCATTACACACAATCATCACTGAATATCAAGTGATGGGGGTGCAGTGAGGAGACTTTTTTCCAGCCCTTTATAGGTTCCTTGAGACCACCAGCTAACAAGGAAGATCCTGTGTTCCTCTCTGCATCTCTCTATTTTTGGTCCTATCAATGTTTGTTAAATTTCTTTTTGCAAAGCTCACTTCTCCTCTACATTTGTCTATTTTCCAGCAATCAGGACCTTCTCTTTGTGTGGCGTTTCTGAAAGCCCCATTTGCTTTTTCTAAACTATGTTGTATGTTTCCTGGCAAATTCTAGGTTGTCCAAAGCTAAAAGTGACCAAGAATTTCAAAGAGGAAAAATCAAGTAAATGATTAATCTGAATGCCAGACTGTAAATTGAGTTCTCAGAAGCTCTTTATTTTTGGAGAAAACCAACAAAGACAGACAGAGGGCTTAGCATGTGCTCTGAGAACCACAGTTTCGGCCATTTAACATCTGTGTCTCTGGCGCAGCACTCCCTAACCATCATCCAGGCCCCCGTGTGCCATCACCGAGTCTGCGTGTCCGTGGAGGCTTCTCTGAGGATGGCTGGGTCGAGCTGGCTTGCTCTAGTATGCAGTGCTTAGACTTTTGTCAAGTGTCCCCTGTCTCTTACCCCAAGTGACAACCCTGGAGACCAAAGGTTCAGATGAAAGTAGCTGTCTGGGTGGCCACTGCCATCTCCAAGCTCAGTGGAATGAAACAGAAGTTACAGAAGTAGCTGGTTTGGCCCTGTACACTGTGCCTAGGGCAAAGGCCTGACCTCACAATGTTGGCACTGAAGCTCATACTTAACAGTAGAATTTGCCATTTGAAAAGCACACATCTTAGAAAGTTAATTGGCCCTGGGACACAAATATCTGTGTATTTCAGGAATCACTTACCATTGCTACATCCCATCGGGCACCTTCATCCCTTCCCTGGGGTGAACTGCGGGCGGTCGGGGGGTTTGCTTTTCCAGGCAGCCACCGCCAACAGTGTGAGCTTGGAGGTGGGCATCTTGCAGGCTCTGCTCTTGGGGCAACGTCTCCACTAAGATTTTATGTTCTTACAACACCCCAGGAAGGAAAGAACCATTACTAGCCCCATTTACACATAAGGAAACTGAAGCTTAGAGAAGCTTCAACGCTTGCCCCAGATCTCCCAGCTAGGAATTGGGGTGCAGAGGCCTCACCTACTAGAGGTCTGTAAAATTGCACAGTTGGGCCTCAGACCGCATGGCACAGCCCCAGTCCACACTAGAACATCCCTCCGGGTGACACCTCGATGGATTTGAGGACAGGTGCCTCTCCTATCTCTCCCCTTCTTAGCTGGCCTGTGGCTCCTAAATGACTCACCAAAACCACCTGGTGGTGTGGGTCTTCTCCTGGTGGGAGCCAAAAGCGGACACTGAGTTCTGGTCTTTTCTTGCAGGGCGCCGAGGGGCAGAAACCAGGATTTGGCTACGGAGGCAGAGCTTCCGACTATAAATCCAAGGGATTCAAGGGGGCCCATGATGCCCAGGGCACACTTTCCAAAATCTTTAAGCTGGTAATGTAACCTTCCTCCCTGGGAAAACTCTGGGGTCTTCCATGGAGAGGTGGGGCTTGATCCACGAAGTGTTTACTGTACCCCTGAGAGGCTCTCCAGGCTGAACTGTGTCCTAACACAGAGGCCAGGGATTAGAAAAGGCATCAGTAAAAGACAAATTCCAGAATCCCCAACTAAGGGCCACTACCTCTTATCACCCACAATAGATTTCAGTGCACTTTCTGTCCCTGGCCCCAGAACCATGCTGTCTTCCATGCTAGGATTTCTTGGGCGGTAAACTCGAAGCAAAACACATTTCAGAAGGGAGCCATCTGGGTTGCGTGCACCAGCACACTCTGACGGGCCCTCTGAGTGCAGTACCCAGAAAGTTCCAGGTCTCTGGAGCTGGATGTCAGGTGGGGTGGCTGATCTCTATCCCTAACCAGAGGCCTCTACTGGGGAGAGGGGACAGTGTGCCTGGAAGTGGCTAGTGGAGACTGGAGGAAAGGAGCCAGAGCCAGGCCCACATGGAGGAGGAAGGGTCACTGAAGTCACTAATAGGGGAGTCTGGAATCCTAGGGAGGGGCCCTGCAGGCTACACAGACCCAGTGACCTCACAAGTCCAGTATTCATTAGCCAGCTGGGCCCCCAAGCTCTCTGAGACTGAGTTTCTTCATCCACAAAGTTGGGGGTGACATCCCAACCTCGCTTAAAAATCATTGTGAAAGCAGAAGGCAGTTACAAGGCCATGTGGTGGGCATGGCTCCTTGGAGGACAGGACAAAGGAGGCCTCAGCAGAAGGCCACAAGGCATCTAGAGCTCAGGGGACCATGCTGAACCCCACTTTCCTTTGTCTGGTGGGCCTCCTCCCCTGGGAGTCCTCAAGGTGAGGAACACCTCGGCCCAGCTTTTATTCTGAGCCCAGCCCCAAGCTCCCCCATGAGGAAAGAAAGCTGTCTTCTGTGGTGCCAAGGAATCCATGGTCCCTGGGGGCAGAACACCATGGACAGAGGATGCCCTCCTAGAATAGAGATCCCAGAATCCTTCAGGCAGCTTAGTGACTGTTAGACTCTCTGAGAGTGAGTGATGGCTCAGGTGACAAAGGCCCAGCCTGTAGACAGACTCTGCTTGGGAGACATGGCCCTTGGTGGCTCCTTAGTGACATGCATAAGAGTTGTCCATGGGTCCTACCAGATGCCCGGAGGCCGCCCCACTGAACAGAGAACAGCTGTGCTGAGAGCCACACATCTCTTATGTGAAGGTGACATCAGTGTGTGCAGCTCATGTTTTCTTAAATATGCTTAAGTTTTCCCCTGCAGTTGTTTTTGTGAGATTTGTAAAAATTTTTAAATGTCTTTATAGTTCAAGGGAAACTTTAGCAAATGTAAACAAATTGTAATTCTTACGGTTGTAATGAAATTTTACTACGTAAAAAGCCCAGTGTAGAGCTGGCCTCCGGTGGTCAGATGGCTGGATGCATGGACAGTAGGTCGATTTTAAAAGTCCCTCAGAGGGCGGAGGATTTAGCTCAGTGGTGCCACCACCTGCCTCACAAGCGCAAGGTCCTGAGTTCGATCGCTGGTACCAAAAAAAAA